CCTTCTCCATCCCTAGGCCAGCCACGGTTTCACTACTGCTGGGCCTCCAGGCTCTGACGTGGGAGATCCTAGAATGACAGTCCGACCCAGTGGTTCCAGAGGGGACCAAAGATTGTCTGCAATCAAGACCAACCCTATATAAAGATTTTTAGCCAAGAGTTCTTTGCTGGAGGCCCAAAAGGATTTTTTTTTTTTTTTTTTTTTTTTTTTTTGGAGTAAGGTCAAAGCCCTTTGGGGGCTCTGCTGAGTCTAGGTATTTGAGAACTCATTCCATCGGTGTGGGTGGCTGTCCGCCAGGATGCTGCTGCGGGGGAGGGGAAACAGCCTCCTGGGGGAAGGAGCTGCTACTGCTGGGCTGGTGGGGTGCCCTGCCTGTCTGCCCGCTGCCTCCCCCCTGCCTGCAGCCTCAGCCTTCCACTTCCTGTTCAGCATCTGGGCCTGGAGCTGGGGTTTCTTCCTGCAGAGCTGCCTGGAAAGGAGGGGAGGTAAGCTGCTGACTTTTCCTCTCTCATTAGCTTTCCTTTTGGCCAGGGAGGGAGGAGGGGGGTAGAGGGAGGGGCGAGGGAGGGCGGGTGACAGCTGGCTCCCAGAGCTTCCTGGTCTCTGCCTGGCTTTCCCTCCGCATTCCTTGGCTGGCAGGATGGAAACGCCTGTGGTGGAGAAGCTCCTGGGAACAGGCCAGGCCCCCTCAGCTTCCGGGCCTGTGGTTTCAGTTCCAAGGAGCACCTGGACGAAGCTCCATTGCCGAGTTCTCTCAGGTGGGTGAACCTGGTCCTCATCTCAGCTCCCCTCTGGGGGCCTCTCGTGCTTGTTCAGGTGCCCCCAATCCCATTTCCCATCTTTGGAGCCTGAGGCTCTGGCTGATGAAGCTCCCAAGGGGGCAGCTGGGGCTTTAGCCAAACCACCAGGCCCAGGTGTCAAGGGAGGCTGCTGCCCGCCACCACCCCCCTCGAGAGCATCGCCCCCCCACCCCCCGAGGCCGCTTCCACAGAACTGTTCGCAAGGAGAAGAGGACGTTCCCTGCTTCTCCTCCCCAGGGAGCTTCAGCCACCGCTCGGAAAGGGACAGCCAAATGGCGCTGCTGAGCCTTGGCAGAAGGAGCTTTGCTTCCTGTCCCCTCCTCCTATGCCTCCTGGGTCCTCTGTGTCAGAGTCAGCCCGTGGCGGGTGGGGGGTGGGTGGTGGCTTGCAGGAGACCCTGAGGGAAGGAGCATGCGTAAGAGAGAGCAAGGGGGCAGCAAGCCTTTCTGCTCTGGCCACCCTCACACCCGCCTCATCGCCAGGAGGGTGGCAGAGAACGAACAGCAGGCTGCTGGGCGCTGATCGGCAGGGAGTGGTCTGGAGTTTGAGAAGTCCCCTGCTCCACCAGGGGGTCACAACAGGACCCCCACCAAGCAGTCAGAGGAGGGGGACAGGGAGGCAAAGATGAGCCACAGTGGTGGCCCTCACGCTCCCCGCAGTGGCTCTCCCGTTTCACAGCCATGGTGGGAGGAAGCCTCCCAGTGCACAGGACTCAGGGCGAGATAGGCTGGGTTCATATAATCCGAAACCATGTGTGGGTCCATCCTCCCCCTTGTGAGGCTGCTGTAGATTAGAGTTCTTGGACTGGGCCTCCTTGGAGCAGACCCCCACCATGTGCAGTGGTGTGGGTCATTCACTGCCCAAGGGCAGCTGAAGGTCAAGTAGGGGCTGAAATTCAGCCTGCACCATGCTTGGTCAGCTGGCCCTCTGTGGGGCTGGGGCCCATCGGGGGTGTCCTGTCTCCTGTTTTGAATGAAGGTTCCGCCTTCATTCAAGGTGCATGGTTGAACCATGCCATAGACTTTCAGTTACCTTTGGTCTTAGGCATGAGCCTTCCTACCAAATCAGCAGGGCTTTGTGCATGTCCCGGGGCTTGAGTGCCCTGCAACTGCATGATGTTTGGCATAGCCTATCCCCCTAAAAAATGCATTGTATACTCAAGTTCTGGGTGACTCAGAATGAAGTTTCCACTGGAAGGAGAAGCTCACAGAGCTGCCTCTACTGGGCATTGCAAGGCTCGTTCTGCACCCAAACTAGCATGGCCCCAGCAGCTTCCATGAAGCACATGGAACGACTCCTTAGCATCTCCTGGGAAAGAGGCCATCTCTGGCCTTTAACAGATAAGCCCTCCATGTCCTAAGACCTCTTAAGACTTGGAAACCACAATTTGCTATCTTCTTTTACCAAGAAAAGAAAGGATACTGGCATGGGAGGACAGCTGATGGAGCTCTCCAACCACCTGGATCCAGGCCTCTTGCCATCATTTAGTCCTAACTGGCAGCTGGCCCATATCCTCAGTCCATGACCTGTGTAGCTTCACTCCTTAGTTTTTTCATTGTTAGTCCCATGACATGGATGGTCTTCTTATCCACCTTTCCCAGTAACGTGGGAATGCTATTCAACTAGTCTTTCATTGAGTTTTATAGTTTGCAGGAGATGGCAGATGACATAGTCATACAGATCTCCCTTTAGAGAGATCTAGCACTTTATGGACAGTATATCCGGAAAATGGCTACCAGATTGCAAAGCGTATTGATTGGTGGGTTAATTCCATTTGGTTAGAACACTGGGATGTTTTAGACCAAGTTCTGGGGTTCCAGCCTCAAATCCTTTGAGAGTTGCCACTGTCCTACAGTCACAGACCATTTCCTCAGACACAGCCACATCTTGTGGGGATGTGGTGTTGCCCCCAGGGCACAGGAAGTGTGGTGGCATCAATGCAAATCCATTTCCACCACTGGAACCGTAAACTTGGAATGCACCGCCCATCAAGGCCATCACAAAAAGAACAGCAGGGAATTTATAACCTTTTTTTTTTTTTTTTTTTTTTTTTTTTTTTTTGCAGTTTGGACCTTTTATCATATAGATGCCAAAAATCTCAGAAGCTTGGAAGATTTTTCTCCTCCAGCAAGCCCTGAAAACATCTCTGTAATTTGTCCCACATGCACACTTGAGACAACTGGAAGGTGTCTGGTATTTTCTCGTTCCAAATGCTTTGTTAACGGACTTCACAAAACCACTGACCCAACACTACTTCTGGGAGGAAGGGACATGATTAAAAGCTCTTCACAGAGCTTCACCGAGATCCTTCTTGCCTTTCCTGATACCCACTTCTTGTGAAAAGCAGCCTGGAGATGTGTGAACCTCTTGTCTGGGGACCAGCCTTTCTCTCTCACACCCTGAGCCCACATGGTCAAGCTGAAGGGTTTCCACGGGGCTCTGGGAGCTCTCCTTTCCTGCAGTCTGCACCCAGTGGTCCGGCTGGCCTCACAGGACACTCTCGGTTTGTCGACAGAATCCTTAAACTTCCTCTACCCACAGCATGCACCTCAAAAGCAAGAGGGAAGCCTGGGTTCCCACCACTCTGCATAGGGCCTCGGGGGTGGGGAAACTCCATAGGCCTTGCTTTTGACAGCCTTTGGCAGCTTCTGGGTGTGGGAAGCCACACAGCCATGGCAAACCAGCCACGAAGACACACCAGGGACCGCAAGCCTTCTATTCAGCACGTTCTGATTTCTCATAAGGAAAGGCCACAGAGAGAGAGCGAGCGAGAGGGAGCGAGAGAGGGGGGGGGCAGAGAGAGAGAGAGAGAGAGGACCAAGGAAGTGAAGGGGTGAACACGCATATCTTAAATCCCCTCCTACCACAGCTATTGTGATGTTTACATCTATAGCAAATTCGAAATCATGTTTAAATTCCGTAAAAATGCATCTAGCTATGACAGATTGCTTTCAACCCAGAATTCTTAGAATTTATGTTAAAAAGATGAACGAGATATATGGATCACACAAGGGTCAGGTTTATAAGGACTTTCATCTTCAACAGAGGGGGAAGAAGAGGGCAAGTCAGCATCAGTGGGTTGCTGTCTTTTGGGAAGGAAATGGGGCATGGGCGTCCTGTTCTCTGGCTGCCATTTTGCTTCCCCCTGGTCTGACATTAACAGTGCTGGTTGGGCTCCATGGACTCAGCAGCTTGTTTTTGATGAGTGAGGGGCTAGGTGAGCCCAAATCCTTCCTGAACACTAAGGCCTATGCTCGAATCTTGGAGAGAATGTCACGAAGAGGAGAGATGGGTCTGTGGTGTTCTACAGACCCCAGGACAGAAGAACCTGCACCATGTGCCATGGGGAAGGTCTACGAATTCAGAGGTTTCGCCTCTTACCACGGGGTCTCCTATCTGCCACTGTGTTGCTCTCCAGCCCCCTCGAAGCTGGATGTGCATGAGAAACAGGCCACTTCCCTACAAGAAGAGTCAACCCAGAGCCCACCTTCACTCCCTTGGTCACAGTCAAGGCCCCAGGGAACTTGATTAGGCCTTGACCCTGGAGAGCACAGGGACTTCCTCTGCTTCATGCCTACTGCTCCTCCTCTCCCTGTCCTGCTATGTGGATGAGGCTGACAGGGACCGTAAGGGACGTTGGAACTCATGCAGAGGCCACTAACACACACGCCAGCTAGATGGCATCGCCAGGACCCATGCAGCACGGCACCTTCTGCCCCCGCAAAAGCCGCTACATGGCAGCATCAGCTCGCGACCTGCACCTGTGTGATGGCTAGAGCTCACGGATGGAAATTTGGATTTTTTTTTTTTTTTTTTTTAGATGAGCTATGGTTCTGAGCCAATCTATTTCATGGTACAGTTCGATGGCCTTCTCCCTGGGCTGCCGCAGAAGATGCACACGCCGTGCAGCCCCAAGGGCAGCAGGGTCCTTCCTCCTCAAAGCCCCAAACAGAAGATCAAATGCGCGGCCCGAGGCTGTGCGGCAGTGTGCACCTTCTGCAGAGGGAGGTGCTCAGGATCTGCACCCCCACCCCTAGAAGAGAAGCGGCAGACACTCGCAAAAGAAAAAGGGTGTATCGAGTCTGGGAAAGCCCTGGACTCCCTCCCACCCCGAAGGAAACGACAACCAACAACAAAAAAATTGAAGAAACAAAGAAAAACCAGAAGAAATGTTGAGGGAAGAAAACCAGCTGAACTTACCACACTGCGAGTGAACTTTTCTAAGGAAGTTCTACGACCTTGCTCACTTTCTGGCTTTAGGGGGGGAAAAAAAAAGGTAGGGAGAAAAATACAGAAAAAAAAAGAAACTCTTCAGCTTACATGTGGTTTCCAAACAGCAGCAGCGGCAGCTAATGAACAAAAACAACAGCAAAACAGGGGGAAAAAACGGGAGAAGAGAAGCAGCCAGCGCCATAGGTGAGAGGCAGCGGGAGAGACAGCAAACAGAAGCCTGCCGGAGATGGTGCTGCCTCATTAGGAAAGGGGGTGTTTGCTTCTAAGGGCACCGCCCGTGGCGCTGTGGGGCTCTGTGCCTTTGCACGGGGCTCCGCCTGCTCCCTGCGTCCCACGGGCTGTGCTCGCAGGCTGGCACCCCTCATTTGCCCCCATCTGCAGGCAGATGCCTGGGGGCCTCACCTGGGGACCCAGAACAGACTACCCCTGAAGGCTGGGGATCCTGATGGGATGTCAGGAAGTGGCTGTGGGCAAGGTGAGGTCACCAACGCCTCTGGAAGTCGGGCTTAGGACTCTGGGATTTTTTTTCCCCACCCAGACGCAGCCAGAAATTTCACTCACTCCAGAGACTTTCTACTGGTCCCCTGTTGACTTTCATTCTGTGTCCTTAGAGCAAGGAGGGTCTGCCCACGCCCGCTCTGTTGACAAAATGTTTTGGGCCTCAGAAGAAGTGTTTCGAACAAAAAGTGCCCTCTCGGTGTGTAGACAGGTGACCCCTTCTGAAGTTTACGCTGGGCAGGTGACAGGAGGCTCAGGGACCCCTGTGGAGAACTCTTAGCTAAGGAGCCCCTGCCAGGGGCAAGAAGAGGCAAAGCCCTCGAAACCTCCTCCCAGGCCTAGTCACTCACTACCACACAGTACCATAGGAAGAGAGGAGGGTGTGGTGTGCTCCTGGCCCTCTCCCTAAGTTTCCTGCTTTGCCAAGAGGTTTGGGAGAGAATTACATGAGTTACACCCCAAATACTGGCTAGTTGATCCTAGAGCCGTCCTAGAGCCCTGTTCTAGGGTCTTGAGCCCGAGACGGGGAAATCTGGAGAGTACAGTCACTCACATGGAAACACACACACACTCTCTCTCTCTCAGCAAAAATGGAAAGTGGAGAGCTGAAGGAGCAGCCAGGTGCCTGTGGGTCTGCAGGGTGCTGGAAGCAGGGGGTGGGGTGCGTGTGGGGGGCAAGGGCAGCCACCTGTCTGTGCGGTCAAGGTCAGAGGGCTTCTTTGGTGGTGGTCACGCCCCTATCCCCTCTGCTGGCTGCCAGGAGACAGGATGTCGCAGAAGGAAAACACAACACAACACACACATACACACACGACACACCATGGCAGAGCCAGGCTGGTCCTTTTCCTCCCACAAGAAGCCAAAGGTTACCGTATCAAGTCTTGGCTCTGGGGACGGCAGGACTCAGCTTCCATCCTGTGCGCGGCATAGGCGGCACACACTCGGCTGGGGCCGGGCTGGTCCTGGGCCCTGCAGCTAGCACGATGTGCCTGTCATTCTTGTCCTCTGGCTACTGTGTTGCTGCTCACAGATGGGCACCATTTTCTGACTCATTCGGGTTCCTGCCTTGCGTATCCTGGAGGAGCCCTGGAAACCCAGCTCACCTGCCCCTTGAGAACCTGCTTTGCCAGAACAGCTAACCTTATCTTTGACAATATTGGGAAAGAGGATGACCTAGGGAGGAAGGCTTGGGAGGCTGTGGCTCCAGACTCCATCACAAGATGGAAAGGCAATAAAGTGAGGTCGGATGAGATTCCCTCTTGTGGCTGGAGCATGGGACCTCTCACGTACCTTTACGACCTGGACATTGATATCACACGGCAAGCCCATCTCTGACATCAGGGTACTTCTAGGCCTACCTGAAAATGCCGAGTTACAACTCCAATCCACACCTGGAAACTCTCAGGGAGAAATGGAAGAAAAAGTAGGTTTTGTCACTGTTTTTGGAAACGATGAACCCCTGGATATTGCAAGGACATTGGCATCTGCAAGAGCTTTTCTGCCAGAGAACAGCCCTTCATTTGGGGGCTGGGAGGATCATTCTAATAAGTGTCACATGTAACATTTCACAGGCAAGCTGTTGTGGGTCCCTTCCTCACGTGAGCGATCTCCTTTGAGAAGTTCTTTTACGGGAGGACCTGTGGGCACAGGTGTCTCGGTTCCACTTCCTGAGCTGGAGTGTGTTACCCCTTTGTGTTCAGACGTCTAAGAGGACTGCATGGACTCTGGCTTCTCCTGGGTATGTGGATGGGCCCAGATGAGCCAGACTGCTAGAAACTCAGAGTTTCTCCAAAGTGTGATCAGTTCAGGGTCTTGAGACAGGAGAAACTGGAACATTCATTTTGGCCTTTCCCCATGAGATCTGGGCTGGAGATACCAGAAGTGTCCATAGCTTTTTTCTTGAAAAAAAAAAGGGCATCTGACGTTCCCCTCCATCAGAACCCTTCTACCTACACCCTCCTGCAAGGCCAACAGCAAGAGGCCAGGCTTCACATTTTCCATCAAAGAGTGACACTTGTTGGAAGCGGTGCAGGCAGCCAATAAAGCTGGGTTTCTGACAGCTTGGGCATTCCAGAATTCCCTTTCCCTTCCTCAGACTATCAGGAATATTCTCAGGGCTACCTCACGTCAGAAGAACAGGAAACAAAGGCTGTTCTAGACCCTGGAGTTCAATGGTACCAACCAGATACGTAGACAGGATCCTAGCACACGAGGGAGACAGACAGTACACAGAGAGCAGGACTGTGTGACCGGGAGAGGCAGCCCGACGGAGGGCGCATGGGTGGACAGCCGTAAGCTCAGGGACTGGGGTTGGCTGTGAGGGGAGCCGAGGGGATATCCATGGTCCTGAGTGGCGTGGCACGGAAGCTGTGGATTTGGGTGCAAGGAGAGCCACACTTAAACACACGTGGGCCTCGGAGCAGAGCTGCAAAGCGCAGAGGGTTTGCAGGCATACTGGAGTCCCAAACCCTCTCTCCTGCCTCCCCTTTCCCAGACCCCAGGCCCCTCCCGGCTCTGCCTGCCCTCCTCCCAGAAACCCAGCAGAGTTCTTCCTGTTTCAGCTGCCCCTTGTCACCTACATGCTGTGGGTCCCTGGACGCCCCCAGTCCAGATGCCAAGGGCTGCAGGGAACCATGACTTGATTCCAAGGGGAGGAGAATTACGAAGATAGGGAGCAGTTATTTCGTGGCTGAAAGAAAAGGCAAGCACTGTGGGGCACCGGGGAAGGGACAATTCCAGGAGTTACTTCTGGGGCCAGATTGGGGTCTGGGGGGAGGACTTGAAATCTGTAAGGTTTTCTACCCAGTGAGGGGGTTGCCCCGATCCTTGCCTCATCCTCATCGCTGAGCAGGTCAGATTTTACCTAAAGTCTGTGGTAAGGGGGTCAGACTTTGCAGTGAGGGGCTCTTTCCGGTTTCCTAAGGGATTTGCGGATGACACCGCCAGTCCTGAAATCTTGTGTTGAGCCACCGTGGCCTTGATATTTAGTCACACTCCCTGCTGTGGGCAGAATGCACAGGCCAAGGTAATGGGGCCATGGAGACAGGATACTACACCCTGGACCTGGGGGGGTGGGCTGAGGTGGTGACTATTCTACTTGTCTTCTCTTAGAGTGGGAGCAGACAGAGAGGGGAAAGAGGAAAAGAGAAAATAAATAAAACCCAAGGGATGATACTCTCATTTGACGTCAGCAGCAAGCAGCAAGGCAAGGGTTAACAGTGCTAAGAAAGGCAGGCCTGCCCTTCCCAAAGATACCTTCTTCTTGGCCAGCAGCAAGTCCTGGTAAGCGTTTGACCGGAGGAAGCGGGCATAGCTGTCACTCTTCATCAGCTTGTAGATGTGTTCCTGGGAAGGAAGGAGGAGGGAAGACACGAGAGAGAGCTGTCAACCATGGCTAAGGAAAGGGGATCATTTGGGTTCCTGTTTGAAGAAAGAGACAAACAGGGGTACACTTGTGTGCATCTAGAAACACTTGTGATATGTTTGTTTTGTTCTTTTCCCACCCAGAAACACCAAACAACCTATATCTTCTCCCTTAGAATGATATCTCCTTGAGGATCATGTCCCAAAGGCTTTGTAATTGGGCCTTGGTGCCACGTGGAGATGCAATATTGCTTAATGATTAAAACCACAGGCACAGCCGTGAGCAGGAACCAACTAGTGGTACACCCAGCCACTTGGATGAATCTCGAGGGATTTATGGAGGGAAAGAGCCAATCCCCAGAAGGTTACACACTGTATGATTCCATTTGTATAACATTCTTAAAATGACAAAATTACAGACACGGACAATAGATGAGTGGTAGCCAAGGGGTAAGGATGTGAGGGGAGTAGGGAAGGGTGTGGTTATAAAAGACAATATGAAGGATTCTCGGGGTGACGGAGTTGTACAGAACTACACACACACACACACACACACACACACACACGTACAGGTAAAATTGGGAAACTGGATACACTTGGTGGACGTAGCAATGTCAACATCATGGTTGTGATATCATTCTATGGTTTGCAGATGTTACCATTATGGGAAATTGGGTAACTGGTACATTTCTGTATTAGGTCTTATAGCTGCATGTGAATTGAGAAGTATCTCAAATTAAAAAAAAAAAAACCAGGGCGCCTGGGTGGCTCAGTGGGTTAAGCCTCTGCCTTTGGCTCAGGTCATGATCTCAGGGTCCTGGAATCGAGTTCTGCATCGGGCTCTCTGCTCGGCAGGGAGCCTGCTTCCTCCTCTCTCTCTCTCTCTCTGCCTGCCTCTCTGCCTACTTGTGATCTCTCTCTGTCAAATAAATAAATAAAATCTTAAAACAAAAACAAAAAAAGCCCCAACTCCATAGGCAACGGTGCAATTAGGTCAGTTGTGCCTGTTAGAGCCACCCTCCGGTCCTGGAAGGGTGCCCTTGGCAACCATCTATGGGGCATGTGAGCAAATACGCCAGGCCTGAGGCTTACATCCAGGAGGGGCAGATGCTGTGGTGTGGTGCCCTCTCCTCGCCCGGGCTTCTAGAGGCATTTGCATTCTGGCCTTGTTGCTGAATTTCACCCTTGACTTCCAGCTAATTCCTATAGTCTGTGGGCCCTTCCTCACAGATCTGTCCTCACCAAGGGCAGGGTAAGCCAGGAGCCTTAAAAGAGGGCATTTGTTGATTGGAAAAAGATTATTTATCAGTTGTGTTGGAATAAATGTGGCTCAGCTGTCCAGGAAAACCTGGCTGTCCCAAGAGAGGACCTGTTAAGAGGAGTGGTGGGCTTTCCCTAGGGAGGATGGGCTTGCTGGCAGAGGCTGGCCTGGTAGAGGAAGCATCTTCTCTTACATACACGCACTGTTCATCCCATGAAGCTGGACGAGGGCTTCGGGGCTCGGGGCAATGAAGAGCCAGACAGTGAGGGGAGAGTGCTCAGCTGAGAGGCAGGACTGGTCATTAAGGGCCTTCTCCCTTGGGACTTGCCTTCCAGGGGAGGGTAGAGGAAGTCTCCCCTCAGCAGGGGGGCACATTTTAGAGAGGCCTGGCCAGGAGCCAAGCAAAATTCATGGAGGCAAGCAAAATTCAACAGTGGCTTGGATCTGAACTGAATTTTTTAATCCAGATGTGGTGCATTTCATAAACTCAGTGAGAACACGCTTCCCCTAGTGTTTTCCTGCAATTTTCAGACAGAAATCCAGCCCACTTTAGTGTAAGTTCCGTAAAGGTAGAAACAATATGTCTTTATCTCTTACATGTACAATGTCAAGCAGGGGATTCAGTGTTAGTGACATTGTTTCCAGGTTCACAGACAGGCTGACGTGAGTAACATTCTGTGAGTTTATAGGCACCATACTGGTGACTTCTGCTCGCCTCAGCTCCTGCCCTCTGCTTGGAAGGGGAGTGGGGCTCCCACGCAGCTTGAAGGAATCCCATGTGTGAACATCTTGGATCATCTCTAATGGCCTCAGAGCCTAGGCTGAGGCGCTCTACTGGTCTTTGTTTTTATGTGTGGTCTCTTTAAATTGTTCTACCATTTAAATCATAGGTACAAATGTTAATGACTCACTGTCTCTTTCTTCTTGTCTCCGGCATTGCTTGTGTCTGGCTGACAGAGCCAGGTGGCTCCTGAGTCATCTGGAGAGACCTGCCGTTCATGCCTGGACCCTCTCCAAACCCCTCTGCGAGGTAACAGGCTCCTGCTTCTCAGAGGAATCCAAATCCCAGGTCTAGCTCACAACCACCCCCCTCCCCGTACTGCCCCAAGAGGAGTAAGGAGATCCCTCCTAGTCCAGCACTTCCGGCCGTGGCAACAAACTTCGCCCCTCATCTAGCTAATTCCTCCAGCCTCAGTGTAGGATGGAAAAGCCTGGTCCATTAGAAGGATGAACTTGTCAATTAAAAAAGAACAAGATAAAGCACATGTCTAAACATTTCGTCACAGAAACAGTCAGCAAATATTTAATGAGCGTCTACTAGGAACGAGCACCCTGTCAAGCATTGAGGTGACAGACTAAGTCCCTGCTGTCATAAAGCTTAGAGTCTATGAAGCAAGATTGAAACACAAAGTCATAGACTACAACTCCCAGAGTAGTTTTAGGTCCCAGCCGCTTGTGAATTTTGTGTGGCTTCTTGTGGTGGGCTCACTCCTGTCAGCAACTTCTGTAGACCTTGGGGCATATTGGAGCTAAGGGCTCCAAGGTAGCAGTGTAAGCACAGGGTGTTGAGTGAGAATGGGTGTATATGGGATGACCCACTCTGTCAGAGTAGGGTATGGCCTCTGCCCCCTCCGGGCCTCCATTTCCCACAGTCCAGTGGTCCATGGCTGCCCCCTACCCTCCTCTGCTCCCCCAAGCCAAGAAATGGGGTCTTTGATAGACCCAGTTATAGAACTCTGCTCTTTCCTCCTTGCCAGCTTTGTCTAAGAAGCACAAAGACAGTAAACAGGGGGTGGGTAAATGGAGCGCCGAGGTTTTTCTGGGAATGAGAATTAAGATGGGACTCAGGGTCTTTGGCCAATTCCCAAATGCAATGAGTTTATCACTGCCAGGGACAGCAAGTGTACAAAGCTCTTGGCAGTGACCTCTACTGATTTATGGGAGGTTCTGGTTTTTTTCCCCTGCTCTGAAGACAACCAGTCTTAAGGGAAATGTATATCCAGAATCTGCAAAGAGCCACTGGCAAAACCAGGAAGCCCCCACTGACAGAATTCCTCAGGGGCTAGAGAAAAAGTAGTTTGGTCTTCTCTTTTCTTCTTTGCCTTTTCTTCCGCTCCCATCCTCCCCTCCTTCCCTTCCTCTCTGTCCTTTTCCTCTCCTTTCTTCCCTTTTCTCCTTCTTCATTTCTTTCCTCCCTCCCTCCCTCTCTCCTTCCCTCCCTCCCACCCCCCCTTCCTTCCTCCCTCTCTCTCTTTCTCCTCCTCCCCCTCAAGAAGAGATAGCTGAGTTGACTATGAACAAGTAGAACTAGCAGGGTCCCCATCTGTCTTCCTGACACATGGGAGAGTGAGGACGGTTCTCCACAGCCTGAGCAACAGACTCTCTAGGGCCCTAAATTCTCCTGAACATCTTAGCCGCAGTTGTCAGCATGGGGAGGGCATCACACCCCTGTGGGAGCTGACAGCCATAGCACAGGGATGTCACCCTGAGGAGACACTCCACCCGCATCTCCCTTTTTGGGCCCAGGCCTGGGATGGGAAGCTCTGCTCGCCTGGGATGCTAAGGTGAAAGCAACAACAGGGACCCGGAGGGTGCGAGATACATGTGGGCGCTGGAAGGAGCGGGAAGGGCAAGCTGTCTCAAAACCACACCTGCTTCAAATCAATGCTTTGCTATGATGGTCCTCATTTGGGAATCTCCTGTATTTTTAGGCAAAACACAGGGACCCTCACAAGCACTGGGGAGGGTCATCAGACAAATACCTGGAGCCTTGGGCCCCAAGCATGCTGGAGCAGCTGACTTGCTTAAGAGCACCCTCATGTCCTCCTCTTTGCGGTGGGTCCCTAAGACAGTGACCATATCATTTCCCAGCTTTTGCACATCCCCCTGGAGTGGGACACCACTCAGCTGGAGCATTGCGCACCTGCCGAGAGCCCTTCTTGTGATTTTTGAGTGCACTGTTTTTCTTTTCGCAGAGACATGGGCCTCATCGCTGCTCTCCACCCCCCAGATTTCCTGGAACAACATCCAGACTTTGGGGACTGCTGGGTCCATCGTAATCCCTTGGAGGAAGGTGAGACTGTAGGGTAGAAGAGGGTGTTGCTGGGCAGAGAGGTGGAAGCGAGCCTGGGCTGGGCGCCGAAGGCTTGGATTCAGGTCCTGACTCTTGCCCCTCTCCGGCCCTGCCTATCACACAATTCAGTGAGGACATTGAAGTGAGGGCACGATAGAAACTATATACATGTAACGTAATAATAACAATCAGCCTTCATGCTGTGGCCGTCCTTGCTAGGGAGGACATGGGGGTGAGCCCAAAGATGGCAGGATCCCTGGGGTGGGAGGTAAGTCGAAGCAGAGCCATAATTTAGTTGCTGTTGTGTGCTCTGAATCAGTGCTTCAAGTTAAACAACCCCATTTTACTGACGAGGATTCTGAAACTCTGAAAGGTTAAAGGATTGGTCCACGTACAGAGCTAGGATTTGAACCCAGAACTGTGTGACCCTCCCCTCAAAGTTTGTACTCTTCCCTGGCATGTTGGTTTTCACCGTCCTTGAGCTGGAGTTTTGGAGGGAGTCAGTGTTGCGTGACTGGGCCAAGAGGTCCTCAGGTGTCCTTGGCAGAAACATTAGGGGACTCTGCTGGAGTCCTGACCTGAGTCATCCTGGTAGTAGATGAGCTGCCCTTTAGGACCCATTTACTACCTCTGCCATTGGTGATGGTG